AGTGCACTGAGCAACACATGTATGGTATAATCGTAACAAAGTCTCCGGCTACATTAATCAGTGCACAGTAACAAATTTATTCGTTCCATTTAACGAACAAAAACTCTATTCAATGGTAATTAATCATATCATACCTACGACTGAAGAAGATTTCTAAAAAAAAGGAGGGATTAATATTCACGAACCGAATTTATTTCTAATGTCACACCGTTATATTTATAAAAATGACCCAGCTGCTATTGGAATGAAAATGCACGAAAAGAATAACTGTTCCCAAGTTTGATATCTTTATTTTGTACACGAAAGGGTTAATGAAAAGGAACTTCTCTTTTCTCAGCATCCTGTTTGCTTACTTTTTTCGTTCTCCCAGAAATCATTTTTTTTCACCTACTGAACAAAAAGTATGCAAGTTCAAAGAGTTGCCTCTGGAGAGAATTTCTTCCCACTCCGATTTTAAAAAACCAACTCGCGGAGATATTTATCGACCGGACGATAATAGCGCTAAACTGCACAAATTGATGTTAACTCAATCCTTCGTACAAGGAGATTTTAAAGCTCGATAAGAACGGGGTTCAGTATTCCCTCTTATTAAATAGTGGATGTTCAAAAATAAATCAATTCCATAAATATCTTTAGAAAAAGAGCCATATTCATTGATTTCTCAATATAGATGTGATGCTCTATGCATAATGTTAAATACATATTTGATTAATCTAAGAATAATAGAGTACCATCAGATAAATTAGGAGTAGCAGTAGAATCTTTTAACCGTCCAACGTCGTAAAGTGCTTGTAAAACAGTTTAAGAATAATTCCTGCGGGAAACGTTTAAAAAAAATGCGCGATGCACAATAAAACATCATTCCCTTGGTTATCGTGTATCGATGGTATCTACGGAACCCCTGCAAAATAGCAAAGTGCCTGACCTCGTAACCTGCAGATCCCAGGGAAATATGCCTTGCGATCTCAGCCAGGTTGATGCATGCATGAGTACACAAACATACATGTACCCGGCCGGATAACGTAGAAACGCGCGCAGTAAAGATAAAATTGTGAAAATGCGGACAAATCTTAATCTACCAACGTCAGGTCAGGAGAAATCATTCATTAAATGCAACGGAATCGCTCGTTTTATGTAACGATAATCGTTCAATCATGATGATTAAATACGAGACGCAGCGATATGATTGATTGGAGAACTGATTGATTTCGAATGGTGTTTGAAAATTTGAAACAAATTTATTATATAACAATGTAGATGCAGATTTAAGGAACAGTATTTAGTATTTTACAATAAATAGTGCTTCGTGAATTTTCTCGTGGCACCGGACACGGAGCAAGTGGTTGGCCTGTTAACCTCTAGACCCGGCGAGCCGATGTACGCGGGAGATGGTATTCGTGTGAGCACCGACTCCTTTCAAGGCTTCTTTTTCCGTTATGCGTAATACGCGCGCATGACGTCGCGCAGTTCGCTGCGGTTCGTGCGAGTCGATTAAAACGGCGCTTTTAACGCGCGAAAGCTTCAACGGATGTACGCGTTGCAACCATCGTAATATCGTGATAATAAATGGCTGAAAAATTGCCTAGTTAACTGTGACTCTAGCACCCGCTCCACACCTTCCTCACTTGCAACCGGTTCCATTATCTTCCGAACCGAGTTTCAACGTTGTTCCCGTTGAAACGAGCAGCGTATTACGATAACAGATCCGTCAACGCGCTACTAGGGTAGGTATTATTGCTAAGTAATATTTCATGTCAACGACTACATCGACCGGCGGACAAACAACGAGTAATTTTTAAATTGCATGGACTACTAATTTAATGCTACTACGAGAGTACATTCAATTAAATTGGGTAATGTGTTTTACGTATAGATAATACCAAATAATTGAGATATTGATAGTAATAATCAGTCGCATATTTTGTTAAAGTTTGTTTATGTGTAAAAACTTTATGCTTTGTAAATAAATAGTTACGATTCTGATCACGAAACAACGAAACATTTTTTTCTGTACGTATCGTATTTATGTGAAAGAACTTGAATTTAATTGAAAGAAATCGTGTTTATGTGAAAGAACTTGAATTTAAGGATGTATTGGCTATACAGTCAATCCCAAAAGTTTATGAACTTTAGAAATGCATTTTTTAAAAAGAAATCAGACGTCGGGACAACATTGCTAATAATAAACAACAAAAAAAAATTTTCGATTTTTCCGAGATTTTTCCAAGGGGTACCCCTTCAATTTCTTCCACATTTTCGTTTTTGGCCAATAACTCTCAAACC